TGAACAAGAATTACTATGTTCAAAATCGCCATGATTAATGAGCAAATGGTTAATAACTTAATTTGTTTCACTCCACGCAAACATGCGGGCCGTGCATGCGATATTTTAACTTTTTTATAATCGTTAGACTTTTTTATAATAGTTTATATTGAAAGAATTTTATTAAAAACAAAGAAAAGAAGCTGTTACTTTGATTATTAATCCATTGAGCCGCAATGTGCCCTACTTATTTTTTTTACTGGTCTAATGCCAGAAATTGTACTCGTCAATGGGGAAGCTCCGCAGCTTAACGGGTTAAACATCCTTTTTATATTTATATAAATATGCACACTTCATTCGAGTCTGCACACTTGCCATTTTTCATTTGCACACCCAAGATCTTGGTGAAGTCTGCATGGATTAGCACTAATCCATGAACAATTGGCCCCAGACATTCATCAACAAAATTCAGTACCATCAGGCATTAATGATGTGTTAAGCTTGGAGCAAAATTACACAACATACGCTATTTAAGCATTAGCGTCAACGTTTTGCAGTAATTTATTATTTTGAAATTTATTGTTTTAAATCATTTTATTTTAAGCATAATTTTTTTGTCTGTACATGTACATTTCGAAAAGAAAATACAGAAGTAATTATAATGTACAAACTACAGCACTATATTGCTAATAACCTTCGAACAATGGCATACATCAATAATATTATCTGGAAAAAAATCAAAATATTTCAATTGAAATTTGAAACTAAAAACAAACCTTTTCTCTGGTCAGTGCTCGTCTATCTAGTGGACAAAACGATCCATTTTTCCTGGAATAAATACAAAAATTATGAAACAAGAATTACAGTGCAAACATCGTCAAATTAATGATTAAATAGAACAAATTTCTGACCTCAGAATCGGCTCTAAACAACTTTCACAAAATCGATGGCCGCACTCTGTAGTTTGCACTGGATCTCGACAAACTAACTGACATATAGGACATATGTAGTCTGGGGGGATGGCAGAAACAAATTCTACATCATAACCGCCAATAAAAGGTCTTGGAGCTGTAGAGAAGTTCCCTCCACTTGCCAAATACGCTGTGCTTTGAGAGGGAGGCCCTCGATCAGTCGCCATCTTGGAGCGATAAATTATTAATTAATATTCAGATGCAACATTATCTCAGATATTATTCAGTTCAGTGATCAGGTTTCTCACACGTGATCACTTCAGGTGGCGCGGGGGCGGTATAAAACCACGATCATTGACAGTAAGGGTGTGGTCATTATTTATGGGGAGGGGGGTTGGGAAATGGGGAAAATAAGGATTGAAAACTTTTTTGACCCCCCTCCAGAAAAGGCAAACTTTTTGTGCCTCCCCCCTCATAAAAGTAGAAACTTTTCTGACCCCCCCCCCCAGTGTGGATTGAAAAATTAACATCAATGAAACAGGTGTGCGTTGCAGGTAAAGTTAGATATTAGGACAATTTGTTTAATCTAGCTCATGATGTTTTACCCTGGTGAATATGATTCAACCATATATGATTAAAAATATATATTATGTGTTACTACTTTGCAATGCAACATGTCCTACCATAACCCTAACCCATGACCCGTCTTCATACAGCGAAATGATTTGAACACAGGGTTTTTTTAAGAACTTGTCTGGGGGGTGGGCATCTACAAAAAGGGACCATACTATATTGAGTGTGGAGAGATGACAGATGTTGTTGGTGACAAAAAGTTTGGTGTGGTATCGTATGTCTAGTAGGGAGGTCTGGGGGTATTTCCCCCCAGAAATTTTTTTGTATTTTTCCACCCCTAGAACTGAAATGTGAGCATTTTCTGAAACAGATTTGTGGATATACAGCGTTACATTGTGCGTTGATAGACCGAATCTGATCAGTTAAGTGCACTTGCACGGTATGTTTATGTAAATACCACAACTGGGTCACTCAGGGGGTAGAAAGCTTGTTAAACTTAGCGGGCCCGACTCCCACGATCGCGAGGCGCTACCATGGTTGGCGCTGAGCAGGGAAATTTCGAAAATTTTGAGTCTCTAGATCGTTGGAAATAGCATTTTCAGAGTCTTCTTTTTTGCTATTTGTGATTATAGAAATCAGAACTCTAGACATGGTATTTAAGTTCAAAACCTTTTATGACCCCCCCCCCCTTTCTCTGTGTTAAAACTTTTTTGACCCCCCTATTTATAAGGGTAAAACTTTGTCCCCCCCCTCCCATTTCCCCCCTCCCATAAATAATGACCACTACCTACAACAGATTGAAAGACTGCGAAGTACAAAATGTTATATGAAATCCTGTAAGGCCATCTTACACTCCGCAATTTTTGCTGCAACTTGCAATGCAACGTCACAAAAACATGCAGTACGCATGAGTTTTTCACCAGGGGCAGTAATACCTTATGCTGAAATAGTGAAATAAGTACCCAAATGTCAATGCATTCAAAGCCATATCAGTTAGATGCATGCTTATGGCTACCCCATACAGAATCATACATTCTGATTCACAAGATTATAAGCGCCATTTGGCTTAATAATTAACAACACCGAGCCTGAGGCGAATAATTGTTTTAGTATTTTTACACAAGCTTTTGTGTTTTTTGAGACTGAATTTATTTTTATAATTTCGCTTATTTCTTTGTCAGTAAACTTCCACAAAACGGGTAGCCGCCATTTTGAAAATTTCTGTTTTGTTATATTCACCTGTAGGTGAATATAACAGCTTATTACGTCAAATTTGACCAATCAACGTGTAGGATTTGTTATGTTCAATTGCGCAAAAATACTAAAACTATATATCAATACGGAAAAAATGTTTTATATTTGTTTTATAATATAGCACAAAGAAATATAAAGAAAGAAATTTTCCGACGTTTCCGTGTTGACATTGAATTATATCAACACGGCTCTTAGCCAATCAGCGTTCAGAATTTACAAATACTATATTATAAATTAAAATAAAACATCGCTTCATGCACGACATTGCGTCGTGTAATGTGAATAATCGATGGTCAAAACGCCAAAACCTGCAAACCAGAACATGTTTATTTTTTTTGCATTTTCGAAAATAACCTATACATATTTCTTGTTCTTAAACTTATTTTCCCCATCGTGTTGCCCAACTTACGTTTGTAATTTCCCGCGGCAGCTGCCCCCTGCCCCCCGCCTCATACGCTTATGTTCGTATGCATATTCAAAGGTCTATACAGAAATCTTACCAGAAGTTACAATTTCCTGGCGATTTATGATTTTTATTTTAAATGGACAAGTTCTGATTCAAAATGTTCATGTAATTGTGTTCAACGTTAGCTACTCTGCTATTCAACGAAATGTACAATTCAATTCTAATAATTTACTACAATTGTCCGTGAATAAAATTTCGATTGGGGCAATCACACTTCAAATTCAATACAAATTTTAGAGTTTTTCTTTGAGCTTACTATCTGTTCCATGCAGTTCTTTAACACTCGTTCAATTTGAAAATTTCAAGAATTAAAAATTCCCTCTTGTGAAAGCGTCAACCTTCAAATTCGTTCAGGGTTTATAATAATTGTTCTTCAATTCGCCAGTGGAATTTCGGCACACCAAGCCGTGTCAAAATGAATATTAGTTTAGAGAACTCCAACGGTAAAGATAATTTGACCAACTTGAATTAGCATCATCGACACCTTCATCTGTTTCTAAAATGAAAATAATTAAATATTTTATATCAGGTGGTATTAAATGTAACTTATTGGCTTGAGTGCGCACGAGGCAATGGTTCCAGACCAAGGCTACTACCAACGATATACGTTAAATAGGTTCACACTGTCAGCCACGAGTTCAAACTATTCCTCCGTGTGCACCAGAGGCGCCGGAATATCGATAATTGGGGGAGGGGCAGATATTCATATATTCGTGTTCTGCCCAATTAATTTCTTTTGAAATCGATTGTTTTTACAGTCTGTGAACACGAATATATGAATATCTGCCCCCGCAATTATCGATATTCCGGCGCCTCTGGTGTGCACTCAAGGGTATTCAGGTATTTTTTATGCTCATCTCAAGTAAAAGCAAGTTAAGAATGTCATTTCAAGTGTTGTTTACAAAGCCGTCATAGAACGTGAAATTTCATTGCATATACAGTATATATAGCCGCCTTACGAAACTTTACAAACCTCTTGCAAATTTAGATAGGAAATTCTTTTCATCTTCACTAAGTTTCAACATGGCGGTTAGAACAGGAATAAGTTGTTCTTTCTCATTTGATCCTTGACTCAGGAACTACAAGAAAAATAAATCACCAAAATGACATAAGAACATGACATGAAATTATACATGAAAAAGTGTGCAATCGTTTCACCTTCATTATAATATTTTTCAAATATTCTAAATTTGATAATCCTTGCTCTCTCTCTTGGTTCCTCTCCAGTCTAAAATATAGGAACAAAGGTTGCTGTACAGTACAGGCTGTACTGTGTACAGTACAGGCTGTACTGTACTGTACTGTACTGTACTGTACTGTACTGTACTATACGGCACTGCACTGTACTGTATTTCAATGTACTGTACTGTACTGTACTGTACTGTATAAACTGTACTGCACTGTACTGTATAAAGACTGTATTAAGTAATTTCACGATTCACGAAGAGAAAATCTTCCATTTCACGTTTCATGGAGAAAGGACACTCTTATTAAAATGTTATTCACGGAAAATAAATACAGGATTTCACGCTTCACGGGGCATACTTATTAAATTAGTAGCCATTTCACGTTTCACGGGAAATAAGAAGAGCTTTTATCACCCTCAAATAGCAGCTAATGCTAGACGTAAATATAAATGTATTACACAGTTTTCGTCAGTAATGTTTTATAACAACCAATTTTATTGGATATTTTGCAAAACAAACCTTGTAATACTATTTAATGTTTGTATATATTTAATTCCGTCTACACGTCCCCCTTGGAAATTTAGTTTTTAATACTACTAACCTTCTAATTTCGTCTTTTAGTACTTTAGCTTGCTCTCCAAGCCTCATGGAAGTTGCCTCACTCTCACGCAACAACTGAATTGATAAAAAATTGATTAAGATATAAATTCACAAAATGGGAAATTATTACAATTACCTAAGGGGCGGACCATTTGACTTTTGAGATGGGGGGGGGGGGGGGAAGATTCAGACTG